AGGTGTTTCATGCCATGTTATGTCCTAAATATGTCAATTTCTACACGGGGGTTGTAAACTATAGATTTTGTCACACTTAATACTATAGTACTTATGTACGAATGGGCACTGCCCGTAAAAATATTATAAATATTATTATTATTATTATTATTATTATTATTATAAATATTAATTTATGTAAGTTTACATTACCAAAAAAGTATAGTTGTGAAATATATAGAACCAAATTTATTTAATTATGTTATTTTAAAATGTAGTTTAGGTACTGTTTACATTTACCTCAAGTTTTCAAATTCTTTGAGTAAATGTAAACAGTTTATTATTTATTAACTAAATTGACAAAATTTAAAAAACAAAGTTAATTTTTGTTATAGTATTAATTAGGAGTAATTATAAATTTTGGTTTGAATTTTGATTTTAAATTTTTTATGTCTTAAGAGATAATTTGAAATACGGCATTGGCCGCGTAAAACAAAATATTGGTAATATACTCATCAGAACCTCTTATACATAAGTGAGCAGAGGTTTAAATTAATTTAAAATCTTTAAATTAATCTAAAAAAAATCAAATGTTTGCATTTATCCCAAATGACCCTATATAGTAAAATCAATTGTCGAAATTGTTATTTTTAAGATTTATGCTTTATGGACTTTGAAAGAACCATATTTCTTACGATAGTTGTCGATAATTTATTTCTCCGGTGGGTAAGAAACAGTTATTGTTTTAATTACAAAAAACATAAAAGTAACAATTTTCAGCCGTTGTTTATGTACCTACTATATAAAAATTGTATGACTAATTTTATTTCTTACTACAGAAAACTATTGTTGCGGAGTAATTTAAAATCATGTACTATATAGTTATTTAAACTATAGGTACGTCCTTAAACTAGAAAAATTAGTTACTGCAATTCAATTGAGTAGTTAATATGACTGAATGGGACAAGAATATCATCAAGTAAATAATCGTAGCGTGCGAACGTCGTAAGTTCAATTCTCAGCGCCTGCGCCTTGGAGATGTTTTTCTGTTAAACATGTTATAATTAAATATATAAAGTAAATATAAACAAAAGTAGGTGGAAGAAAATATAAAAAATAGACCTCAATAATAATAAAAATAAGTAAATTTAAATTAAGGAAGATTTCGACTATATCAGCAATTAGTGACATCTATTAGACGTCAATTGAACTCTTTGGTTTAGAGTCAGGTGTTATTCTTAAGATAATTACTCCGATATGGTTGTCGGTAAATAATTATATTTTTGAATTTAATTTTTGATCTGAAAAAATAAGCTGCGTGAACGACTGCACTGTGCATCTGTGAGGACTCGAACCCCAGTTAATAGCTGCCTTTCGCGGGACTAACGCCTACCAATGCACCATGCCAACACAGCCTGGACGTTCACGTTTCTTATAATCTCAGATCAAGCCCATACACTAGTCGAAGAGCTGTATAGTTAATGTAGGAAATTATTTGCTGATTGAGAATTTTAATTAAGGAAGATTTCGACTATATCAGCAATTAGTGACATCTATTAGACGTCAATTGAACTCTTTGGTTTAGAGTCAGGTGTTATTCTTAAGATAATTACTCCGATATGGTATGGATTGGTAGGCGTTAGTCCCGCGAAAGGCAGCTATTAACTGGGGTTCGAGTCCTCACAGATGCACAGTGCAGTCGTTCACGCAGCTTATTTTTTCAGATCAAAAATTAAATTCAAAAATATAATTATTTACCGACAACCATATCGGAGTAATTATCTTAAGAATAACACCTGACTCTAAACCAAAGAGTTCAATTGACGTCTAATAGATGTCACTAATTGCTGATATAGTCGAAATCTTCCTTAATTAAAATTCTCAATCAGCAAATAATTTCCTACATTAACTATACAGCTCTTCGACTAGTGTATGGGCTTGATCTGAGATTATAAGAAACGTGAACGTCCAGGCTGTGTTGGCATGGTGCATTGGTAGGCGTTAGTCCCGCGAAAGGCAGCTATTAACTGGGGTTCGAGTCCTCACAGATGCACAGTGCAGTCGTTCACGCAGCTTATTTTTTCAGATCAAAAATTAAATTCAAAAATATAATTATTTACCGACAACCATATCGGAGTAATTATCTTAAGAATAACACCTGACTCTAAACCAAAGAGTTCAATTGACGTCTAATAGATGTCACTAATTGCTGATATAGTCGAAATCTTCCTTAATTAAAATTCTCAATCAGCAAATAATTTCCTACATTAACTATACAGCTCTTCGACTAGTGTATGGGCTTGATCTGAGATTATAAGAAACGTGAACGTCCAGGCTGTGTTGGCATGGTGCATTGGTAGGCGTTAGTCCCGCGAAAGGCAGCTATTAACTGGGGTTCGAGTCCTCACAGATGCACAGTGCAGTCGTTCACGCAGCTTATTTTTTCAGATCAAAAATTAAATTCAAAAATATAATTATTTACCGACAACCATATCGGAGTAATTATCTTAAGAATAACACCTGACTCTAAACCAAAGAGTTCAATTGACGTCTAATAGATGTCACTAATTGCTGATATAGTCGAAATCTTCCTTAATTAAAATTCTCAATCAGCAAATAATTTCCTACATTAACTATACAGCTCTTCGACTAGTGTATGGGCTTGATCTGAGATTATAAGAAACGTGAACGTCCAGGCTGTGTTGGCATGGTGCATTGGTAGGCGTTAGTCCCGCGAAAGGCAGCTATTAACTGGGGTTCGAGTCCTCACAGATGCACAGTGCAGTCGTTCACGCAGCTTATTTTTTCAGATCAAAAATTAAATTCAAAAATATAATTATTTACCGACAACCATATCGGAGTAATTATCTTAAGAATAACACCTGACTCTAAACCAAAGAGTTCAATTGACGTCTAATAGATGTCACTAATTGCTGATATAGTCGAAATCTTCCTTAATTAAAATTCTCAATCAGCAAATAATTTCCTACATTAACTATACAGCTCTTCGACTAGTGTATGGGCTTGATCTGAGATTATAAGAAACGTGAACGTCCAGGCTGTGTTGGCATGGTGCATTGGTAGGCGTTAGTCCCGCGAAAGGCAGCTATTAACTGGGGTTCGAGTCCTCACAGATGCACAGTGCAGTCGTTCACGCAGCTTATTTTTTCAGATCAAAAATTAAATTCAAAAATATAATTATTTACCGACAACCATATCGGAGTAATTATCTTAAGAATAACACCTGACTCTAAACCAAAGAGTTCAATTGACGTCTAATAGATGTCACTAATTGCTGATATAGTCGAAATCTTCCTTAATTAAAATTCTCAATCAGCAAATAATTTCCTACATTAACTATACAGCTCTTCGACTAGTGTATGGGCTTGATCTGAGATTATAAGAAACGTGAACGTCCAGGCTGTGTTGGCATGGTGCATTGGTAGGCGTTAGTCCCGCGAAAGGCAGCTATTAACTGGGGTTCGAGTCCTCACAGATGCACAGTGCAGTCGTTCACGCAGCTTATTTTTTCAGATCAAAAATTAAATTCAAAAATATAATTATTTACCGACAACCATATCGGAGTAATTATCTTAAGAATAACACCTGACTCTAAACCAAAGAGTTCAATTGACGTCTAATAGATGTCACTAATTGCTGATATAGTCGAAATCTTCCTTAATTAAAATTCTCAATCAGCAAATAATTTCCTACATTAAAAATAAGTAAATATTTTTATTTTAATACTTTAAATAATTAATTTAACTGTTTTTACCAATCCTAACCAGCAGGTCATGCTTGACGCCTTTATTGGCGTCATATCAACAAAGTGGTTAAATGTAGGTAAACATGAAGATTTTAATTGCTAGATAAAGGATGTGACTGTAATTATTTGAGTATCAAAGTTTAAAAATTTTTTATTTTCTTAAAATTGAGCCTTGAATTCATCTCATTTCAAATTAAGAATAATGAAAGTAAGGCATATATACCTTCCGTTAGTATTCTTATTCAACTAATTATTTTTACCTGTCGCAGTATAAATTCTCCAAGTCCACAAGATTCTAATCTGATCCCAAGTTCCGATACCCCTTTTGAAACATTATATAAGTAGGAATCTTCAAAGCATTCAAATGTATTTATTTTATTTATTAAATAAATAAAGTCAAACGATTCTCCCTATACAACAAAATTTATTCTAAAATTTCACCTTTGTGTAAGAAAGGAAGATTCACCTATATATATATATAAGTGACGTCGAGCAAAGTTATATAGGGACTATCTTAAGGGCATTTGAACCTTATTATGACGTCACAGTTTGCATAAAGCATGTGTTCTAAAACTGTGACGTCATAATATGGTTATAATATTTTTCCTATGTCCATAAAAAACATATTCAATCATTAAGGGGATGTTAAAATCTATGCAATTTTTCAGTTGAAACTCTGTGTAAAAATTGCATCGACTTTGACATTTAGACATTTTTATTAACTGCTATCATTATTATAATAGAAAATATACGTTCGCATGAAAAAATGGACCCATTTTGTTGATTTTTTTTTATTGTTGAAAGCCAAAACACAAAGTGTCCCACACGTTAAATTATGCGTTTACGATGACTTTATCCTATAATGAAAACAACTAATAATCTTATTTTTAATTAGTATGGGAACCGGTAGTGGATTTTAACTTTGTCACTTTTAACTTTGAATCTCTATAACTTGATAAAGACCGCTCTTAAAGTATTGGAAATTTAATCAAGAATAATATACATAGTAGATAAGTCCAATAGTGCCCTTCTCATGCGGACGTTCGCACATATATTAACTCATATCTCCTAATAAAATGAACTGTCTATAAAACATCTATAAATCCATTCTAATATTTATTGAGACTTATCCATAATTTTTTAACATTTTCTAACTATACATGATGTTATAGAGTCAATAGTAAAGTCCAATAGCAAAACTTTCAAGAGATAAGATATAATAATTATTGAATAAATAAATTTTTTCTTTCAACAGCCTCAATTTTCTTTGCCCTCCCGGATCAAGCGACAGTAAAAAAGGTGATCAAGGCGCTACCGCGAACCGGTGTGGGTGTCAAGTATGGGATTCCGCAGACTAGGTAAGCTATAAAGAGAATTGGCAGGAACCCTTTAATTCCTTCCTTTTCGTTCGCGACTCTGGTCCACTTTGAGTCCTTGGAGCGAAACACGCTCAGTGCATTCCACAATTTCTTTGTCCCTTCGAGTTTGGATTCTACTCTGCCGCGGATATCTTATACACCTACATGCGTTATTGAACAAAAGTCGGAGGCTTATTTTATTTCATTTTATTTTACCAGCTCTTTTCACTTGATTGTTTATTCATATCAACAATATATTAAGTTTTAATGCTTCTAATGTTTCACCGCATTGGCTTTATTCTGTTTCTTCAACTTTTTTCTACAACTTTGTAATTTCTCAGTTTAAAATCTGCTTACTTGAAAGTTTGGTTACGCTTTCTTATCCCGCAAGTTTTATTCTATACTTCTTCGAGCGGCGAGAACACAGGTTTGCAGTCTCCCCGTTTCTCCTGGCCATCTATTAAACGCTAAAACTGCGAGAGAGAAAGAAGGACAGAGAGATTGAAACGGAGGAGAAAACTGGCAAGAGATACGACGACCATAAATATACGAGGTTCGAGTCCGACGTCTGATCCAAGGGAGATTCCTGACCAACAAAAATAATAAACCTTTCTCCCTTATTTCTCTCCTTTTTCTCATCTCCTCCGCCTCCTACTCGAGGTAGCTTCTTCGTACTGATATCGCGAGTAATAACGTATTTATTCTCTTTTATTTCTTCCTCTTTGGTCTATACATACTTACATGTAGAATTTCGATTAATGCTATTAAATATTCATCTCCTCTTTCTCATGATTCGCTTCACATCTTTACTTATATTTATTGACGCACCCAAATTTTTATAAAATCACTACACGCAGGATAAAAGATTATTTTCCATTTCAATAAATCAGTTTTCTATTCCGTTTTCTTTTCAATTGCAAAAGACATATATGTGCACATATTCACTGCAACTCTTTTTTCAAGCCCCTTTAGACTGCTAGCTTTTTTTATTCTTCTCCTACTTAGTCTTGAGAATTGCTGAAATTTTTAAAAAATAATTGTTTTGTATATACATATATTTGCAATTTACAGTAATTGGAATAGTAGGTAAACAAAATTCTTTACACGAATACATTCGGCCAAGTGGTTTTTAAATTTAAAACGTTTCGAGATCAATACGATTTCCTCTTCAGGGAGTCTATAAAATAATATAGAAAACAAAAATAAAAATACGATAAACACTAAGATGTTAAATAATAATTTAGAAACATTAAACAATAAATAAAATAATAATAATACATAAACCAATAATGAGAATGCACGAAGACTTTAAATAATAATTTAAAAAACATCAAATAATAAGTAATAAATAAAAATAGAGAAATAATGTAAACTGAGGATAAAACAGGCAGAATTAACTTAATACAATATTAAAATTAAAATGAATATAAAAATGAAAACAAAAGTAAAAAAGAAGCAAAAAAATATATCTTACCAATAAATAAAAAAGTTTTACATTACATATGTCGCGTCGAAGGAATTAAAGTTTGTCCAAAAATTGGAATGTAACATTTGGAGTTAGTATAACTGAAATATTAAAATACAAAATTACTAAAATGTGTTAATGAAGATAGAATTTTATTTATTATTTAACGTCTTAGTGTTTTTCGTATTTTTATTTTTGTTTTCTGTATTATTTTGTAGACTCCCTGAAGAGGAAATCGTATTGATTTCGAAACGTTGGACTAATTTTTATATTAAAATTAAAAACCACTTGTCTGAATGTATTCGTGTAAAAAAAATTTTTACCTACTGAAGGCCTTAATGAATATATTAGTATTATGACATTATTAATTTTATAGCATCATTGAGGTGATATTTTTCGAAAGTTGTCTTCTATTTTTCTATTTTTTGAAATAAATTAATTGAAAAACGCATAATTAAGTATTAAATATTTGTGTCTGGTCTGAGTATAATGCACGTTCTTTTTTCGTCATATTAGAAAATTTTCCACAAATCAGATTGCTCTTCAGTTGACACACGCACACCTGAACTTTAAAGCAATATGAATAAAAATTGGAATTTTAAAGAATATATAAACGCAATTAATATTCCCAAACATGATGCATGTATGGTAAAAATCTGACTACTATTGAAACATACATATGCTATTAAACTGTATCTGGAAGTAGCATATTAACATTTTGTTCGTTTTGCAGAAGAGCTTCCTTAATGACACCACGTCAAATGTTCAGAATGTCAAACATGACCGCAAGGTGGCAACGTCGGGAAGTTTCCAATTTTGAGTACCTCATGTTCCTCAACACTTTAGCAGGTGAGAAAAGATTTTTGATTTGATTATGCGCGAGTAAGAAAAATAGCGAAATCACGTTAAATAGCTGTGAAACATGACTGTGCGCGTATGCGTATTGTATGAAATGTAAACGAAAAGATAAAAAATGTTATTCTTTCTTTATTCTTTCTTGTGGAGCATAGAGGAGAGGGACAATAAGGTAGGAGAATAAATCTGGGCTCAACGTACACCGTTTGTGTTGAAAAACGTAGCTCCTCTCGTTTTCGTGAAGACGTTACACATAGAAAGTGGGCTTTTTATGGCTGCACACGGGTGGATGGAGTCTGTCGGTCCGAATTAGGGATGTTCTCAATCAGAGCATACTGTTGGCGTTCCAACCCCAGAAGCATAATCCGTATTCCAGTCTGCCGTCCGCGGTAATCCTCTCCCTGGGGTCCTTGACAAAGAATAGAGTGGGTCTCTTTGTTTCTATTCGGTTTAATATCAGTCTCTTCGATCCCGTTTCTGCTTTGGCAACAAAAATTTATACATTTTATACACTTTATACACTTTATACACTTTTTCTCTACTAATATCACATGAAACTATATTCCAACAAATCAATGCTACTGAAAGCGAATAAGCGATGACTGTTTCTTTTTAGAAAACATTTGCTTGACAAAACGCCTGAAGACGTAACAGTTATTTGTCAATGATTAGGATTGAATATGGTGCGTATTCGCACATTATGCCAACCGGTTCTACTTTATTTTTAACGCAAAAGATAAACACTGATGCAAATAATGAATGTCGTCAAGCACAAAAGTAATTAAAATTCATATTAAAGAGTATAAGCATTTTTAGAATAATGCCACTTGGAATACTTTGAAGAAAGACTATTTCTGTTTTTTGGTAAACTCGAGCTCTGCTTTTGACCACTGGTTTCTCTCTACACCTCATTTCTCTTTTATACCTTTTTAGCGATTCGTACGTATATACATGCCTGCCGCAGCAGCTGCCAACAGGTCCTTGCATTCATCTTTGATCGTATCTCCGCCGGTTCTAAGCGGCTGTGAATTATCTTTCGGTCCTCACGATAGCGATAGGAAGAGATAAACAACCATACGGTGACTTTGGGGACAACACGAATCCTGGATTTTTCGCCCACGGTTCCCTTCTGTTCTCGGGAACCTTTCCAAATGTTTTTTCCCCCTTTATTTAAAACAGTTTCTTCAACGAACACTATAATGGTGAACATTTTCTTCATTCCTTATTTACAATTTAGCGTCACACAATTGTAAAATCCCTTTTTCTTTAACTGATAAATCAAGTTTATTCATTTAAACCACCATCGTAAAATTAATTTAAAAACTGCGCGCACAATTATACTTATCAACACTTGTTCCCGATAAAAAAAAAAAAAAAAAAAAAAAAAAAAAAAAAGACAAATTTTGTTAATTATCTAATTTAATTAAAAATTCTATGAAAAGCAAGCAACGGCCAATTCGTGTCTTCAAAACGCACAGTTCTTCATTTCATGCCCTTGGTTTGACAAAGTTTCACGAAAATAGAAAGGAAAATAGATTTTGTTAATCAGTCGACAATATTTTAACACGAGAAAAAATGTCTAACAGGATTCAGCATTAATCACGCAGAAAAAGTGAAGGAAAATAGGGAAAAAAATGAAAATATATACTTCCAAGAATGACTATAGTGAGAGAGAAAGAGAAGCAGAGGAAATGAGAAAGAGAAATTAAAGCTAGATGTTAAGCGATTACGTTACGCATGAAAAACATGCTCGTAACGAGTGACAGACTCGCTGACGTACTTTAATTAGTGACGAGCGGGAAAAGAATAACATACACTCACCGCAGCGCCGCTCCGTCCCTAATATACATATAAAATATTTTGAAAAAAATTCAAACCAAAAAGCCTGAAAAACCGAGATGTGAAAGTGAGAGTTTCCGAGGTGACAATTTCAAGAGCGATTAGCCGTCACGCTTTGAATTATGCACTTACTAAACGGAGCATCGCGCCCCATTGAGTTCTTCTCAAGGCACGCACTTTTCTTAAAAATAGATTTCACATTTAAACTTGTTTAACTTCCACGTATAACTCTCCATCTTTTACATTTTAGTTTTTATCTTTTGGCGCCAGAGAATTACAACACTTTTTTTTTACTTCTTCAAGCTCATGTGACACTTAAGGATTTCACTAATAAAGAAATACGAGCTAGTGGAATAGCTTAAAATGAAATGTTGTGTGTATTTTTTCTCTTTATTACAAAGAAGGAGAAACACGCACCTTTTTTTAGTTGGCATAATTCATTATATGTTTTTCTTATCATCTTTTTATTTATTGCTATTAATCAATACAATATTGCAGTCATTTACTATTTTTTCTTATTTCTTTACAATGCGGATAGCGGATGTGAGTCCTTCCTATATGCGTTTTTAGTAAAGAGTGTTGAGAAAAGCAAACATGTAAAAGCTTAGTACTCTTTTATTTTTGGACTAAACAAGTAAAAGCCTAATTGTTAAAATTAGCATTTTGCCAAAATCATGCAACATGAATAACAATAATATCAACACACTATTTAGAGTTGAAGCTATTACGTTGAAAATTATTGAATTCATTATTAACCTCCCATATAAAATTTTTAATCCTACAAGATTTTAATTCTTAGAACTATAAGAAACTTGTACTCTATAGAGTACCTACAAATAGTTTATTGTTCTGCAGTTATAAGTTTTTAATTTTAAATGTACGATTTCCAATAAAATATGTAAAAATATAAGCGGAGCAACAGTCTATTTTTGAGAAAATGAAAAAACAATTGGAATAGTAGGTAAGAAACTTGTTACACGAATACATTCGGACAAGCGGTTTTTTAATATAAAAATTACTGCAACGTTTCGAAATCAATACGATTTCCTCTTCAGGGAGTCTATAAAATAATATAGAAAACAAAAATAAAAATACGAAAAACACTAAGATGTTAAATAATAATTTAGAAACATTAAACAATAAATAAAATAATAATAATACATAAACCAATAATAATGAGAATACACGAAGACTTTAAATAATAATTTAAAAAACATCAAATAATAAGTAATAAATAAAAATAGAGAAATAATGTAAACTGAGTATAAAACAGAATTAACTTAATACAATATTAAAATTATTCGTGTAAAAAATTTTTTACCTACTATTCCAATTAAAATCGGCAAACTCGGACGTAAAAGTTTATTCAATATGAAAAAACAAATTTTCAAAAACACTTTTTTTCATTTCTTATAAACCCATTCTTGTCCCATTTTCAAGCTTTACATAATTTATTAGAAAACTCTCATTTTTCCAATAAAAATAATAAATAAATGAAAAACGATATATTTTTTGAAAAAAATGCGAGAAATAAGATATATTTAAAAAAAAAAGATTTTTGTGACTGAAAAGTATTTGAATATAACAATGTCCATCAGCAACTAATTTCTTCGATTAGATCAGTTCAAGTGAAATTGATAAAGATCAAGTGCTATATATGCAATAAATTTGTTTCCTTGTTTCAGGGCGAACTTACAATGATCTCAACCAGTACCCAGTGTTCCCTTGGATTCTTTCGAATTATGAAACAAAGGAACTTGACCTCACATTGCCAAGCAATTATCGAGACTTATCCAAGGTTGGTTAACTTGCATATACCTATATATATTTAACTTCATAATAGGAGATGAAATTGATTTTCTCAAGTGGAAACTCTTGAATAATTCAAGATTACAATAAACATAACGTTTTCACGACTTTTTCAAATGTAAATAAACTTATGCACCGACATTTGCTGTTGTAGCCTATTGGTGCCCTGAACCCTAGCAGAAAAGCCTATTTTGAGGAGCGTTTCCAAAGTTGGGAACATGAGAGCATACCGCCCTTCCATTATGGCACTCACTACTCCACTGCAGCCTTCGTTCTCAACTGGCTCATCCGAGTGGTACGTTTCACTTGTTTTAAAAAAATGTTTGGTTTACCTTCATAAATTTTACGTTTGAAGAAAGACTTTGGTCACCTGAAGCCAATTGTTTGAAATCAACATTTATATATTATTATATTTGTTACATTTTAGGAACCGATGACTACATTCTTTTTAGCTCTACAAGGAGGAAAATTTGATCACCCTAATAGGCTGTTTTCTTCAATCGCTTTATCGTGGAAAAATTGTCAACGAGATACTTCTGACGTCAAGGTTAGTTTCTTCAGAAATAATAATAATAATATATGGTAGGGGGCAAACAAATTTTATTGATAGGCAAATAGGGTAAACTATATAAAAATCTAATACAATATATGTTGCACATAAATAAGCAACTATTTTATCTAGATAGTTGATGGTAAATAATAATTATTTGTTTTAATTTCATACAGGAATTGATTCCGGAATTTTTCTTTCTTCCCGAAATATTTGTCAACACTAACCGTTATCGCTTAGGTGTTCAAGAAGATGGTAGTTCTGTTGGAGATGTACAACTACCTCCTTGGGCAACGTCTCCGGAGGAATTTGTTCGCATAAATCGAATGGTAAGTTCTTTTCAATGACCAATTGCAATCCTTACCAAGTTTTTTAAAAATATTTCTCTAAATTATTTTATCCTTCATTTCAGGCCCTTGAATCTGAATTCGTCTCGTCACAACTTCATCAATGGATAGATTTAATTTTTGGATACAAGCAGAGAGGTAATTTTCAACTTTTGCAACTATAAAATTTTTAAATAATTTACCAGACAATTAATAATTAAATATTATATGATTTGGCCAATTTCATCATTCTAAATTCATCCAAACAAAAAATTTAGAAAATAAAATTTAAAAAATTGTTTTTGTAGTTATATTCAGTAAAAAATTAATTACAAAAAAGTAAAACATTTGGAAAAAAATTTGTCATGAAAAATATAATGTAAGAACATGAGTTTAAAATAAGATTGAAGGATGCAGACAATTGTACACGTTGTGGAAAATTATTACGAAGATGACGAGTCGTGTGAAATTAAATTTACGCCAGAGGTAATTGCCGGTGGCGCCTCTATATCCGGCTTTTCCTCGAAGATGCATCTCCCAAGAGCACGAGGTTGGATCGTATGGAAGGAATTAGTTTTTGTTAGTTTCCTCTCTGGGGCCTGGTCCAAACCAATTAGGCACGTGTGCGAGGCGCGACAATGAATCCCACCCATAATATGTAACACGTTTACTCTAGGGAACGAAGGAGACAGAACCTGAGAATTTACATTGAAAAAATTGCACGAGGGAACATGGTCGCACGAGCCGGATCAGCTGGAAATAGAGCCACTTATAAATCGGCAGCAACCAACTCCAAGTTTTGCCATTGGCTTTCAAAGAAATCCCCCTCCCCCTCTCTCTCTCTCTCAAATTATTTATATTCTTAAACCGTTCGTTGAATATGGTGTGCCACAAAATAATATTGCATTGTAGCTTTATACACTTGTACATATCACGCGTTCTTTTAACTCGTTGAAAATTATATATGCCATTGCTTGACAATTTTCAGGACCAGAAGCTGTAAGAGCAACCAATGTTTTTTATTACTTGACCTATGAAGGGAGTGTTGACTTGGAAACAATTACGGATGCCATAATGAAAGAAGCTATAGAAAATCAAATTCGAAACTTTGGACAAACACCATCGCAGCTTCTCTTGGAGCCTCACCCGCCGAGAAACTCCGCTATGCATGCAGTAAGTCTCAATGGGCCTTTAACAAGTTCCAAGTCTTCTCCAAATACTGTGCGCTTGAAAAATACAGTAAGTGCGAGAAAAAATTCATTTTGAGTCAAACACATTTTTGATTTCTCGCACAAAGCTAATAAATATATATATATATAATATATATGTATACATTTTAAAGAAAAATTATAATTATTCATGCTTATAGAGTCACACTTACTTTTTTCCAACGCACAGATTAATATACTTTATTGTACAATGCACTCGGACATTTCAAAAATATTTTACTTATTTTCATGCTTAAAATTATCCTTACTATTTGTATATTTTGGATATTACAATTTTTGAGATTTACAGGAAACAGTTATAAACATAATAATAAGAAATGGAAATTATTAAAGAAAAATATTTGAAAAGTAAAAATAAAAATACATCTAATCTAATGTTATAAAAATTTAGTGATGAAGAATAAGAAAAAGAAACGATTCTTTATATTTTCAATAGACTCCAATGATGTTCAACAGCATCCCAGACGATGTTTGCATGACTGCCAAGTTTCCTTCAAATTCTCCAATTTGCCACATTTCAGCAAATACACTTCCACAAGTTCCTAATCCATGCATTGTTACTATAACAACTGGACATCAATTTGCCCTAAATAGATGGAACTTGAATTATACTGGCAAGTACATTCTTTTCAACATTAACATTTAAATAAGTGATTACTGAAAATGTGTAATTTTTTTTCTTCCTTTTGTTAGAAACTGGACAAATTTACTGTATTAAAATGATTTGCATTTACACATTAGCTTTAAATGAAAATGAAGATAATTTGAAAAAATCAACTCACAAAATTAGATTCTTTGAAAAAATGTAATCTTTTTTTGAATGCTATACTAGTTTCAAGAAATAGCTCAAACTGTTATAAATATACTGTAGAACACGCACGCAAATCACAATTATCTCTTCTATATAATAATTATTATTGTCATATTATGTAAATGATAATGTCGTTTTGTCTTAAAATAGCTTCTGTACAATCTCCAAGTTATGCCGACAATCCTCAAGTTCAAGTTGTCCATCAACCATTTCAAATGGATCCAATGTTGTGTAAGTTGACTGAAAATTAAGTTGGAACACGTGAATATTCTCACAACATATTTACTTTGAATTTTCTCAGGTTGCACTTCTATTTAGAGTAACTGAGTGTATAATAAATTTTATTTGAGGCAAGTTGGAGAATATGTATACGTGAAACTAACAGTTATCTTGACAATATTTTCTAAATATCTACTAGTAAATAATTTATGAAAATTTTAGCACAAGCAACAAACAGTTCAAATGTTGCTCTGCGACGGCATCTAGGCGACAACTTTAGCCAAAAAGTGAAAATTAGAAGCAATTGCTTCATAACGACCATCGACAGTCGGTTTATAGTAGCTTGTGGCTTTTGGGACAACAGTTTTCGCGTTTTCTCAACTGAAACAGGTAAAAGTGAGAATTTTTCAAAATTCACATTTTCTCTTGTTGAGCGCAATAGACGTGGAAATTTAACAATTACGTTTAATAATAACTGGGTGCAAACAATAATGGATAACTTTCCGTTTCTGATTTTCAGCGAAAATTGTTCAGATAATTTTCGGTCACTATGGAGTGGTGACATGCTTAACACGAAGTGACTTGAATGCAATGACAGACTGCTACATTGCTTCCGGAAGTGCTGATTGCACTGTTCTTCTGTGGCACTGGAATGCAAGAACACAAACCATTGTTGGAGAAGGAGAAACCCCTGCACCACGAGCTACTCTCACTGGTCACGAGCAACCTGTGACTGCAGTTGCCATCTCTGTAGAGCTTGGACTTGTGGTTTCTGGCTCTCACTGTAAGATCATTAGATCATTCATTTTTCTTTTTCTGTTTTGTCTAAAATAAAAGTTTTGAATTTCGTCTTGTGACACACTCTTATAAAAGAATGCTAGTGTTTAGTCTTCTGCGACCTCTATATTTCTCCGCATTCATTGCTCCTTGAAAGTAAAAGGGAACATGAATTTTCCTTAATTTATAAAATGTTTCTTTTCAGATGGTCCAGTGCTAGTTCATACAACTTTTGGAGATCTTCTAAGATCTCTAGAGGCTCCAAATGGCTTTTCGTCTCCAGAAAATTTGGCAATAAGTCGTGAAGGCTTAGTTGTCATCAATTATGAACGAGGACATATTGCTGCCTTTACCATAAATGGAAAACGTTTGCGATATGAATCACACAATGATAATCTACAAGTACGTCAGAATTGCTTACAATCTTATAATCTTTCATAGTTTGCCAAATTATAATATGTATAGTAGCTCTCAATTTGTTTCTATCGACAGCTGTATTATAACTGCAAAGTCTACTTGATGAATGCTAACAATAAACAATTGCTTTCATGTATTTCAGTGCTTGATTATGAGTAGAGATGGAGAATACATGATGACTGCCGGAGATAAAGGAATCGTTGAAGTATGGCGAACTTTCAATCTCGCTCTACTTTATGCCTTTCCATCATGTGAGAGTAGTGTGAGATCTTTGGCGCTTTCTTATGATCAAAGGTATTTTCATTTTCTGCCTATAACGACAGAAACATACCTAATGACAGAGTTAATAATTGCGTTAATTATTTTCAGATTTCTCTTGGCAGGATTAGCGAATGGTTCTATCGTAATATTCCACATCGATTTCAACAGATGGCATCATGAGTATCAGGATCGTTACTGAAATTATTACTTTCCTTGGAGATAAATGAAAAGTTGGGTTTATAGATACATCAATGACAAGCCAAGAATTTCTTCAATTAAACAAATAAGTTCAGATCTCTGCGCAAAGAGACAATTTTCTCTTAATATGTACTTAATGATGAGGTAGCACTCGAGAAAAAATTGCTATAGTTGCTTTTCTTTTATATATAAAGAGTAAAAAACCGATGAGGGTATAATGGAGAAAAATATTGAAAGAAAAGATTCAGGTAATGTGTAGAAAATTAAATACTGCAGGATGCCCATCACTTTGGGAAAGGAGGACAAATCAAAGAATTTGAAAAGAATAGAAAATGCAAGAATTGCATGATAGTTTTTTAGAGCAGGTAGTCAAAACATGGCATTGAATTTGCTATTAATGAAAATATCAGAAAGCTAAAATCATTTTTCACTCTTGATTTAAAAATATCCCTTAAAAAAATGATAAAATTGAAATATTATAATAATACATTGCTTACTTTTTAGAACAAATTTTATTCCCATTTTGGTCAAAAAAAAATGTGATGACAAAAGTAGAAAGAAGAATTCGTTTGTGTAGGAAAAAATGAAGAATTGTAAAAGAAAAATATTTGGTGGGCATCCTGTACAAGCAGAAGACTAGTCAATTATGGAGACTTGATTTTAGGATGAGTATTTGCAATTTTTTCGTGCATGCTCGCAGACATTAACAATTTTTAAAAACTGCGACCCAACTAACTGATTGAGTCGCTGTAAAATGATGCCAAACTGTGCTTAACTTATTTTTATGTAGGTAATTGAGTACGTTGGTTTTGACGATAAAATTGCTTAATGCATTCCATGTAAATATTCAATCTCCTTTCGTATTCTGTACATTGTAATCATAATGCCTTCAAAGTATATTTGCACTGTTCCGCGCCAATGCAATATTATTGCTGCTCATAGTAAGGTTTTGGCAATTAAAAAAGCCTGAAGGGTATATTGAAATGAACCAACAAATACTTTTCATTCAAGAAACAGTATCCTGGATTAACCCTTCCAATTTCACAAACAAACAAACACACACACACACACACACACATATTATATATATATACACAAAATTCGCGTCCTTAAAATGATCCTAATTTTATCAAAGCCGTCCAGCTTAACTTTGTGAGGATATGTCTTAGTATTTTCGCATGCGAGACTTAATAATAATAATAATAATAATATAACGAAAAATACACTTATAAGCGATAAATTAGTAGATAGATACTTGACATCTGGATTAAGAGTAAGTAACGTATTATTATAAGATAACTAAGTAAATGAATAATATTGAAATTTTTCCTTTTTGTCACTACTTTCGAATGTGTGCGAAAAAAGTTGGTGAAAGAGAAAAAACAAGATTGTACTTTTTTTCTATTGTAATTTTCTTCCCGCATACTTTTAAAAGTGTATTTATAATTATTGACGACCTATTATAGACTATTTATCACAATTTATTTTAATAAGCAAGATCAAAATCATAGCAGTTTCTTCTACCACTTCAATATCGAAAACAGCCCCCAATATTAATCATTTCTCCTATAGTGTATTTTCACATGTATTACACATGTGATGGAATCTTTCTTGAACTTGTATACTTATTTCCTCTAGTTTCATTACTTTTGCTCAAAGTTGCCACCGTTTTAATTTATATGTTATAGATAGAAAAGGCACCATGACCAACTACTTGAACAACCTTTTGCATTAAATCAATTATAGAAGCCCATAGTTTTTATTTGCCTGCATTGAAATTTAATAGACTGGAGAATAATGGGATCTATTATATATTTTTCAATCATATCTTGTCCATCATTATCTTTTATATGAGGATTGGTATAACAAATTAAACATTGCTAAATGTGTAATTTGACAATATTATACAAAAAAACAGCCTCCTTTGATGTTGGCACTTGTTGAAGAGAATAAAGCAGGTACTCTTAAGAATATTTCTGTAGGACTCGATCCTCTTCATCTGATGATGCTTCAGAGTCTTGTTTAATTTGCACAAGGTTGTTTGGCTCCTCTATTATTATTTCCTCTTTATTCATTTCTTGTTGTTCCTCTTGAACGCTTGAATATTGCCACAACATTTTCTCTCCGATTTCATTTGATTATTATCTTACCAATAAGCTTTATATGTCTCTGAGAAAGATATTTGTTTATCAAATAAAGATCCAGAAAATATAGCAGTTATTCTTTTCTTTCCATCTGTTTGTTGTAAACTTTGTCAACACATATTCAATTACACAATCAATTGTACAATTATTATTACTCTGATGCATGAAATCATTTGCCACAATACAAGCATCATATATTTTTTAAAGAAATTGTTAGACCATAATATCTTTGGAGGGCGAGTGAAAAACGATGAAAACTTTATTAATGATAAGCCATGTCCTGCTGTATATATACATAATTTCCATGAGTCTTGCTAGTTTATGTGCAAGAAAGAAATCATCAAATATAAGAGCGAGTGTTTATCAAAAGATTGAAAACTATCTTGTGATTCATTTGGAATCATTATTTGCGAGTTTTTTTTAGGTTTTTAAGAGGAGTCTTTTTTTCTGTTTGTTCCCGTTTTTTTTGGGGGGGGGGGAACCATTGTCGCTTTCTTTATTCTCTTTTTTCTTTAAGGATCCCAATGACTAATCAAGATGAATTGATTAACAAGAGTTAATTAATCATCATTATAATACCTATAGGTGGTATTTAGTGTGGAAGTTTCATTAAAACATCTTAAAGATTTTAACTATTTCAACTAGTCGTCGATTTAAAATACACGTTAAATTAAAACTTGATTTGTCCCTCTTTGTATAGAAAAACATATGCATTTTAATTATATCGTCTGCACGTATCAAATTCGATAGACACACGACACGGCTTGCAAGAATTATAATATGATAAATTATACAAAATATTGTACATCGACTTTAAATAAAAACTGCACCTTGTCTGCTGGCTGTAATAAATATAAATAAATATGTATTTACCAACACTATTAGAAACTGTTCTTTATAATATAATTCAATTCGCATACTATTAATTATTTGTCCGTAAAACGGAAAAAGTTTCCAAGTTGTGTTCCTTTCAATCTACACTATATATATATACTATTTAAAAGAACAGTCACTAATAGTGAAAGTATATAGAGAAAAACATTACTCACCGTAAGAAAGCTGATATAGATGAATGAATTAGTATTGAGGCGTGATGTAATGCTTTTACTTACGGTTTTGAGATATATAAGTATAAGTAGGTTCAAACAAAACAACTTCAATAACAAGTTATTCTTTTTTTCAAAAGAAAGAGTAATGAAAAATTAGGTAATTACTAATTTTCAATTTTTAATGCTAGAATTATAGTTTTCCAGAATATAATTAACACGTGCATTTGACCAAAAAAAGTCAAACTCAATGAAATATAAAAGGTTGCAGAGCAAGTTTTATTAATAGTTTTTGCAATTATAATATTTATTTAAAGAAAAAAGTCAAAAAACTAAAAAAAAAGAAACTGAAAATTAGATATGCGTACGCATTAATTGTGTAAAAATGTCGAGTTATGTTGTAATAAAAAAGTGCGTTCAATGAGAGAGAGAGAGAGAGAGAGAGAGAGAGAGAGAGAAAATTAAAACTTTTTATATTTTGTTCATAGGTGTGCGAAACAAGTTGTTAGCCAATTCCCTCCATATTGCTATGTAAAAGAAGTTATTTCAAATCGATTTCTGTCCAAAAATTATATAATTGTCAACTTCTGTATGAGAATAATAATAATAATAATAATAATAATAATAATAATAATAATAATGCTACTATTTTAAATAACGCTAATATGTATACATACATATGTATATATTTATATAAATAAAAACATGTATCTTTGCATATATTATATGTCATATATAAAAATATATTGTTGCTAATAATATACGTACATAGATGCAAAGATGCATATTCGAAAAATTATCGTACGAACGTGCGAAATATAGATTTGTATATTCGACAAAGTACGCGTACTTAATATTTATGTGTCAAGAGCCATAATTTTTATCGCTGGTTCCAAAATAAAATACTTGTAAATGCGACGTAATTACTTGGTTTCTTGAGAGGTTCACGAATTTAATCGTTGACCAAGTAGCATCCTTAATAAGAATTATTAATGTTTATATTCATAATCATGATATGAGCGCAATTTAATTATTATTAGTTAATAATATTTACCACTTATTGTTGTTGTTGTTGTTGTTGTTGTTGTTTTAAATTGAGGGGAAAAGGGGAAAATTGTTGGAAAAATTTTATTCACCTCTATGTTTTGTGCAATATGCATTTAAAAGCATTTAAAAGCATTTGAAAGCACATTGAAATAAAATACAACTTATGTTCGTTTTATACAAAAAACAAAGGCGACTAGTACATTAATTAAGTAATTTTATAAAGCTTACAATATGAGGCGAATCGACTTTCGAAATTTTATTTTCAAGATTCACTGATTGTGAGAAAGAAAAAATTGGCAAAAGTGATATGATCAACAATGCTATTTTCTTGGGGTGTATACAATGCATGTACTATTATTATTATTATTAGTATTATATGTGTATACAATTCGAGCATTGTCATTGCCATGCATACACCTAATTTGCGCCACTTTTACAATGTAGGTAATATTAATGGAAACATAGAAACAAAGTACATAAGTTATTGCTAATTAATCAAGCTCTAATGCTTATTTTATACTTAGGATTATTGTAACGTTTTAAATAGCAAGTATCATTATTGTATTCTAGAACAACTATAGTAATAATCTGTAAAGATTAAGTAGACAAATAAACGAAAAGTACATTTGATGTTGCAGAAGGTTATTATTATTTCGCAACCCTTTATTCTGCGGGCAAATTCTTTTCATGCAATACCAATCCGAATAAACTAGCTTGTTTATGTAACACTCACCGAAACTGAAAAACACAATGTCGTGACACTAAATGTACGTTTTCCACCCCGATGTCTTGAGAAATCAACACTTTTTCCTCAGTTCTGTGCATTTTCACCATTTTCACCACTTTGACATTAGTCAGTTTCAAGAAAGTGAGAAACACCGGCTTTTCACTTTTGACAGGATAGGACAAAACGGAATAGATCTTAATCGAAAATGTAAACAGAATCGTAATCGTAAGAATGAGTAAGAGAAGCATAAACAAAAATTATTGCTGCCGCACAAAATACATTGGAAAAAACTTTCGGTCAAATTAAGGGAAAATCTATGCATAATTGCATAATAGATTCGCGAGCGTATTGCAGGAAAAAGAAAAGAACGCACGGGCAACATGCATTTCGTTTGTTGTTTTGGTGGAAGGATAAACGCAATAATTCAATTTATCTTTTTCCTATAAAATACAAAATTATAACATTAATTGGACTAACTTTTGTTTCGATTAATTGTCGGATATTACTCAAGTTATAGAAAGATTACAAAAATATATTTCAAACTATTTATTATGACTCGCAATGAAAGAATTTGTATCTACAGTTTATACCTATTAAATTTTTAAAAGAAGAAATGTATTCATTTAGGATTATGTAGGTATCTTTATTCATTCTGATGTATATGCATTTCTTATTAGACAATCAAAACAGCGCGGACCAGTTAAACAAGTCCGAGAAATATTATGTACATATATAAAGATATTACAGTCGTTAGAAAAGTGTACAATATTTTTTAAACTTGTACCATTCTACTTAAGTATTACCATAAAATAAAATAAAATTTTCACCAACTCTCATCTTTATTTGAGTCAGTGAAATTTTTGCTGCCACCAATCAGGGAGCGTTCGCAAATTATTACGTAGGTTACGTAGCATTAAATAGGGGGGAAAAGGTTGTCAGATCAGTGAAATTTGACATAATTATCTGGTATAATTTTATGTTTTCAGCAAATTAAAAAAATGCTACGTCGTGCTGCGAGAAAGGTGGGGAAGGGCATAGGAAACATATTACATATGTGGTGATGTTACAAGAGGGAGGAGGGAGTTAAAAAAGTGTTCCAAAATAGGCTGTTGTTGGCAGCCTACTTTTTTATATTCTATAATAATTAATTCCAACTTTCGCAAAATAAGAACTACTCTAATATCGTGATATGTAGAATTTAACACGATATATGTTAAAGTAGACACTCAAAAAAATTTAATTGCATCAAGTAATCGATTATTTTTATAAAATAATAATAATTTATTTTATCTAAATCAAATAATAAAAGTGTTCTATTCAAACCAATAATTTCTGTAATTGAGTCCAAAAAGACTAGTTCAATTAGTCAAATCCCATACATAACTATTGGAATTGCACTCTGACTTGAACTAGCTGTCTTTTTAGTAGAGGTGCGGTGCACAAAGCTCGATCGAGTATTTTCGAACTTTTCGTTTTTCGAGCTGCGCCGAGCAAAAAGTCAGTTCGAGCCGAGTGGAGCCTCACAAAAAGCTCGAATAATTTCGAGTACTCGAATTAGATTATATTTATGTGCGCATACGAATATCGAACAGTTGTACAATTTTTTTTAATGTGTTTGCTTTATCAACAATACGTATACATATACACATATATCACTAATCTTAGAAAACTACCCTGCAGTCAAAATTCTAACGATTCTAACTCTAGCCTAGCTATGTCGAGAAACCTGTCATGGCGACAACTGAACAATATGACAGCAGACATATGACTAGTTAGACATGAGGTCATTTGTCCACAACAACCATCTGCAGGTCCCAGTCACTTTTGGATCACTTTTTAATTGCTTAATTGTGTCCGTTGCGGTGTTATGCATGGACACTTTTTACAAAATCTATTCACGAATAATCCGAATAATCGACACGTATCCCCTTAATTACATAAATCCAAAAGATTTTTTTAATCCATGCAGAAACGTCATCGAAAAATGGTAAATTCAATAGTAATGTAATGACAGGCGGCAAGACATGTATTGCTGACATTAGCCATTAGAGGAAGGGCAGAAGCATGCAACGAGCATAAAGGCTCCGCTGTCAATATGATTCGCATATTACATACCTTACTATCGTATTTTCTATTTTGCAACCGCGTTTCTGCAAAGTTTAAAAAAATCTTTCGGATTTAGGTAATTAAGATAACACATATTACATACCCAACCCCGAGAGTGAGACTAACTGAAAGAAAAACATGAATGGTTTTTCCAAAAGTCGTGTGACGTGACCGCGTAAGGGTGAAGTCCCATGCAGTCCCATGTGAACAGAAAGCGTAAAACCGAAAGCAGAATTTGATGAGTGCAAGAGAGAGATAGTATGATTATGCACTATCCTTTCCACTCTCATGAAATTCTGCTTTCGCGGTTTTACGCTTTCTGCTCACATGGGATCTCACCCTGAACGCGATTTTATTTTTGGTAATATGCATTAATTGTCTATTGTGGAATCAACCTGAAACGTCAACGCACATCGCATGCAGCTGTTTATCGACATTTTTATTAATTTTTTTCTTTGTGCAGTTATTTATTCTCGGAAATTTTTGCCATTTATTTACACTGCGTGTTCATTTAAATATTGTTTGAGGGAGTTCTCTACTAGGACTTCAATTTACGAGTTATAACGTTGGAATTTTAGAAGGTAAGTGAAACTAATTTTATTTAAAATAATTACAATTTTCAATATTCTATTCAAATGTGCGGCAAAAGCCAAATATTAAAGATATAATATTTACAATTAAATTAATTGCTGAACCTAATTTTGTTGTTGCTTTTTGGGAATTTTCCATTTTATGCCAACTTCTATTATATAAAGGGAGAATCGATAGCAATCACGCAATCACCTAAACTTAAGTTTTTTAATAAACTTAAATTATGGGTGTATATTCTTGGAATATTAATTAAATTGTTTTATATAATGAAGAGAATGTTTCCCTCGACCTTTAATATAAATTTAATTATAAAATAAACAAACACATTAAGAGAAATATGAGGAAAATATATATGAGTAGTGGAATTCTAACCTCCAAAAATTTGTCGGTTAGACCCGAAAAAAGGTGGAAATAATCTTATTTTAATTATTCAATTTGATAAAGTAACATTAAATTATGCTTTATTCAATAATAAGAATAGTAAATAGACCAATTAATAGAAATAAACTAAAAAATTTATTTAATATTAATGGATATAATTATAATATAAATAAAAGAGTTTATAAAATCTTCAATGCGACGCACATTTTTTAAATTGTCCGAGCACTTCGCAATAGGCAAAAACCCATGTTCGTTTTAAAAACGATTTAAGAACGTTTTCGGGAAGGAACATGTTTTTTTGCCCACTGGGTTTTGAGGATAAATTTATAAAAAAAACAAGTTTTAGAAAAAAGAAAATGGAAAAAGTGAGTAATACCCGTGTAGAAATTTAACCATGGCCCAAATCGGGGCCAGATCTTTTGATCATTGTGCAGGCCATAACATGGCATGAAACTTGGGCCCGATCTGGGAAGGTGTTTCATGCCATGTTATGGCCTAAATATGTCAATTTCTACACGGGTAAATACCTTAAAAATACAAGTTAAACTGCATTTTTAACGATAAATTATTCTTCCCTCTATTTCAGATATTTGAAGACTTAATTTTTTT